AATTATCATTCATTTTTGAACAAGTAATTCTTTCAACATAAGTTGCTGTCCTGGGTAAGACGATAAACTACATCTGGCAGCAAGGCCTCTTATCAAGAGGTTTTAAGGAGCTTGGAACCAGCTCTTTAATTGCTGGTGTTCCCAGGTCCACCCTGACTTGGGGTGGTAGTACCTGTTAGGGTCTCAGCCATGGGCAAATAGTTAACCCCCAAACTGGGATCAAAACTCTATGAAAATTGGTTTTAATACCAGCAATTTTGTAAAAAATTATTACCAACAATTAATTTTTTAACAAAAAATTATTACCAGCAATACATAATTACCAACAATACATTTTTGGAAAAAAATATTACTAGTAATAAAAATCTCGTTGGCATTAAGTAACGCATGTTTTTGCATTTGTTTTTACAATGAAGATGTAAAATTCTGCCAATTTTTACCATAAAAATGGACTGTTATGTTTTAAGTCACTTAAATAACAGGAAATTAATACAAGAATATTTTAAATATGTTCTATTGAAAGAATATGTGAAACGAGGGAGTTCTCAGTGAATAATTTGTACATATGTTCTTCAGTAAAACATGCGAATATTCAGGACTTCCACGAATAACAAGTACATATGTTCTAAAGAAAAATCCACCAATGTCTGAAGCTGTGAATGTTGAAATGCGAATAGGCACGGGGCTCACTGTATATGTGTTTGTCAGTTGCCTAACCATAATCAGTTGAGTATGTCCCTATGTGTTGATGTACTTTATATGTCTGTTCATGGACATTAATGTTATATATATATATATATATATATATAAGGTTAATGGTCAGAGTTGAAAGCAACCAGGAAACAGTGGAATTAAAAAGTGCTCAATACATGTGTGAAAAAATAAAATAAAAATAACATACAGAGCTTTTAACTTTAAAAATCAGGAGATCAGTTGAATATGTGATTATATATATATATATATATATATATATATATATATATACACACACACACACATTATGAAATGGAGAAAGTCCGACAATTATTTAAGACATTTTTGTTTATACATTCTATTTATAGATACAAATATTTAAGTAAATATTTATTATAAAACAGAGCATTTACTTAAATATTTGTATCTATAAAAAGAATGTATAAACATAAAAAATGTCTTTATATATATATATATATATATATATATATATATATATATATATATATATATATTAAAATAATGAGAAAGAACAGTAAGATTTATAATCCAGTGTTCTTATTAATTATTTTTATTTTAAAAACAGTGCTCAATACAATTCTGCAGAGCATAAATATTATAAATTTACTAATTTAAAAATATTGTTCCATCGCTATACAGGAATTAACAGAAACTAAAAACTTCAAATTTAATTACAGAATTAATTCTATAATTAAATTCAAAGTTTATAGTTTCTGTTTTTGAAACATGATAATTCTTGAGTAGCGATGAAACCATATTTTTAAATTAGTAAATTCATTATATATATACTGAACAGAAGTCTGGGTTTTTAGAGACAGACTTTTTGTATCAAGGCAGAAAGAAACATGGTGCATATTACAAGTATTCACAACTTTGGTGCTAATGTTTATTTTTCAGGTGACATGTGCAGGCTAAGAATAGAACAATGGCCCCACCCCCAGAGAAGAAATAACATCAGGAAAGAAGGTATTAATTGCAGAACATGTGCAAGACAAAGACAAGATATGAATTTGAAAAAAGGTAAAAATTCGACAGGGCAAATCTTAACAGACAGAGCAGATACACATGCTGTTCTTTTTCCTTAATTTTATTTTAGGGATACAAACAATTGCTTGTTTAAAATATTTTCTTAAAATAAATCACATAAAATTGTATATATCCATTTGTTCTTTATTTAAATTGGGTTCACTGTGCTTGTGTATGCCGTCTTATACCTCGACAAGACCATTTCCAATATAAGGACCTGGCCTCCTCCTTCTCCACCACCACCACAGATGATTCAATTAACATCGAACTCCTGACTTTTTTTTACCATTGCATGGAATATTGCTGTCATCTATGGTCTGGTGCTCCCACTGTACGTCTCAAGGTCCTTGACAAAATCCAGAGACAAATATGCAAAATAATAGGTCCTGATCTGGCATCTAGTCTACAATCACTATCCCACAGATGTGCTGTAGTCTCCCTATGTCTCTTCTACAAGTATTTTCAAGGCAACTGTTCCAACGAGTTATTTTCGCTGGTTCCCGAACTGCATGAATTTAAGTGAGCTACCAGGCTGGCATCTTGGTCCCATCCTTTCACTGTCAAAACAGCTAAATATAACTGTCTCTTCTACTCAAACAGTTTCTCTCACACTTCCCATCTGTGGAACACCCTTCCCCTTACTTGCTTCCTCGATGACTATAATCTTCAAATATTCAAGTGTAATGTCAATTGACATCTGATATCCTGAGCTTGTTCCCTGTCCTTTTCTGTATCCTTTCCTCAAACACGCCTCTTTACTCTTGTTCTCAAATCCTCTGTAACCCCTTGTGTGCTACTGGTACTCCTGTCTTGCTTGGGGAGAATTGCTTTAAACCAAAAAAATTGGGGAGTAACAAACATCCCATGTGACTAACGCAGGGTTGAATTAGCTGCCATCTGAGGCTAGAGAGAGAAGAGATGATGCCTTTCCCCAAAGACATTTGTGTTAATGTGAACACAACAGACTAGACGGTAATTTGAACTCAGTCCACAGATTTTACTTTCTGTACTAATGACAGTTACATTACCCACCCACATGAATGCACAAACGCAAAAGAGAAGAGAATCCTATCATACTTTTTTGTTCACAGTTGTTATATATGCAGAGAAGAAGGTTGCAATGAACTGTTCTCAATGTGGACACCAGTTGTTTCCCTTGTGAATGTATTTCTATCTAATTGATACTGCAACACTTGTCTCCCACTATGTGTCACTCCTAACTCCTATTTGAGTCATCAAATCAAGCATGACTGACCAATTTATACGCCCTGGTCACTAGCTGAATAGAAGTGACAGGAATTGGATAACAGGAGCAGAGAAAGGCGTCTTAATTCAAGTATCCAATACACACACATAAACAATTACACATATACACATGCATGAACAAATGGACATTGAATGTACACATACACACTAATAGACAACTGCATACACCTGTAAACATTGCATACACAGATATACACACATGTAAACGGAAAACTGTACACATTAACAGACTTGACAATGCACATGCTGACACTGATACACTCAAAGAAAAGAAAATCATATACATTAACAGACTTGCCTACACATACATATACACATAAATGGACACTGTACACTCATTCATATACAAATAGACAGCTGCATACATTGCACACACACACACACATGCACCTGCAGAAATTTCACATAAACACAACACACATGCAAGCATGCATATACAAATACTTATAAAGTGGCAACAGAAACCATACACACACCCATACACAAAAAGATGACTGTTAACAGCTGCAGACAATACTCACACAAGTATAACACATGCACACCTGCAGACAAACACAACATGCATGCAAACACACACACACTTATAAACAGAAAACCGTACACATTAATACAGACTTAAATATACACACCTGCAGACACAGCACACAAACATAACACATGAATACACACCTACAGATATTGCACATAAACACATACACCTGCAGACATTGTGTACACACACACACACACAGACACACACACAGACAGACACACACACACACACAGACAACAACATATGCATATGTGTAATTGTTTATATGTGTGTATTGGATAGCTGAATTAAGATGATACTCTCTGTTCATTAACAGACAGATACACACACACAGAATAAATCTAGATTCCTATACAGGTGTACCTCACCCTATGTCATTAATTAATTCCAGTGGTCACAACTTGGGTCAAAAAACAACTTAAGTCAAAATAACCACTCTATAAACAACAAATAAGCACTCCCCATTGTATATTACGGTATTTATGATATGTACGTACTGTATTCTGAATAAAATAATTAAGTAAAAACCAATTTTAACTTCACATAAACTTGAATAAAACAACCTAAGCTAAGTTTTATTTTCCCATAATATTTAAGAAAAACCGACGTATCTTCGAGAATGACTTAACTTGAAATGATTTAATCCGAGGTATCACTGTTTATGAAGAGTTGAAATTCCTTGAAAAGCACACAGAACTCAAAAACCAACAAATAATTTGCCAGAAGGAAGCAAAGATGAAAAGCAATGAGGAATTCTTGTGAAAATGGTAAAGAACAACAAAGAATGTCTGACAACACTGGAATGTTGCTCCCCACCCACTCCCAACATACCTGCAAGCGATGCTTCATGACCAAAATTCAGATACAGAGGATATGCTATTTCTACCCAGTGCACAAGACAACGATTAGGTGCTCTGACCAGAAGAGAACATGTAGCAACAACTTTGTTCTTTATTTGCCTTCTACCACACATAATTATATATGCATAATTAATATATAATTATAATTAATATATAATTATATATGAATAATTATCGGATTCTGTTTGAGACCACTCAGAGTTTACTGCCATTAATGTTTACAGGAAGATGAGAAATACATTGAAGGTACTTTTTGAGTGCTTCTCCAATAACCTAATTATTTCAGGTTTCAGCAATTGTCTGCTGGCCTTCTTCAGTTTTCACTGTTTTTGCTTAGCAGCATATCAAACTGCATGGATTATTAAATGCCAAAATTTAAATATTTAGTATGCAATTTTATTCTTTTTGTTTTGGAGATAATAATGGTTTTAGTGATACAAATCTAACTAATTAATCCATAGATGGGAGAGAAGAGGTGGATTCATACCTTTCCAAAGGGTATTTGCATGTAAGTGAATATAACGAGCTCAACTGGAATTGGAACTTAGCTCTCCAATTAACAACAACGAGCCATTATCCATTACACCACCCACAGATCCAAGCTTACAGCACCTGGTATTCTCAAGTGGTCACCAGGTAGTGACCAGGCTCGACATTGCTTAACTTTGGTGATCATATAGAAACTGGTGTTTCACCGTGATATAGCCGTAAGCCTCATCTGTTTGTCAATCTGGGTAACCTTAAGGGATTTCAAAGTGGACCTTTTTATTTAATCTATGGGGATAGATTGTTCTTGATCTGCTGCCCATATTACATCTTTCTTATTTTGTAAGGTTCAGTTATTTCTCACCCCATTTCCACTGAATCTAAGTCTGCACTACCCAGCCCAGAAATTGAACTCACAACTACTGTCAACAAATTCACAGACCAACACTTTAATCCAGTAGGCTAATATCCTGTAACTTGGTGGATTAAAGCATGGATTTGTAGGATTAAATAAAGGGTTCAGTTCAAAATTCCTTGGAGGCTAAGCCCAGAAGAAATCCAAAGAGTAGTACAGCAGCCTAAACATGATAATAACAACAAAGATGAGGACAATAGTTTCAATGAAAATAATATAGAATTTTAAGGTTTCAGGTGATGGGGAGGGATAAATCTTTTACCTTTTCATTTTTTTTTATTTACAGAATTTGGAGCCCATCATGACTGTCAAAAAAAAAAAAAAAAAAAACTCCTATAAAAATAATCCATGTTTTGTTTGATTTTGATTAGCGGCATATCAACATCTCTATGGGTTATTTAATGCCAGAATCTAAATATTTTGAACACCGTTTTATGGATTCAGCTACAGATAAAATGTATTGTTAGAAATTCTGCTTTAAAAATGTATTGTTGGTAATTTTTTATATATAATAATATATCGCTGGTATTTTTACTATAAAAAAATATTTTTATACTTTCATAGTGTTGGGGGGTGGGGACACTATTTGCCCATAGCTGGTACCCTTACAGGTACTACCACACTTGGTCAGGGTGGACTGGAAACAACAGCAGTTAAGAGATGGTCCCCCGATCCTCAAAAATTTCAATCTCCTGATCAGAGGCTTGCTGCTAGATGTATGTCCCATAGGACAATTGTTGTAGTAAACTTAGAGCCCTCAACTGTTTTATTCAAGTCGTCATTATCCAGAACTATGAGACCAGTAAATGGTAGTCAAAGCCAAAATTTTCACACGTGCCAAAAAAGGGCTCAGTTCAAAATTCCCTGTCGGTTACCCGGATTGATATACTCCTGATGAAGGCCAGAGGGCACAATGATTGAGACATTGTGATAACAACAACAAAGATGAGGAGAATAGTCCAAATGTAAATATATGTAAAAAATGCTGACTGTATTTTTAAAAAAATTTTTTCTTTCTAACTATTTTCCAATTTTCATTTTAGGCAATTGAACATGCAACAAACATGAAATATCAGTCTCATCATGTATCTCGAGACAAGAGAGGCAAGATGCTGGGCCAGAGAGGTGGCTTTCGTGGCTGCACCATCTGGCTGACTGGTCTTTCTGGACAATTATAAGCCACAATGGGAAAAAGACATTTGCTCTTGAGGAATACCTGGTTAGTCATGGCATTCCAATCTACAGTTTAGACGGGGATAACATCTGTACTGGGCTCAACAAAAACCTCAGCTTTTCTCCAGAAGATAGAGAGGAAAACATCCGTCGTATTTCAGAAGTGGCCAAACTTTTTGCTGATGGAGGAATTGTATGCATCACGAGTTTCATCAGTCCCTATGCAAAGGTATTTATTTTCTAATTGCTTTTTATTGTTATTATTTTACCTGTATTTATATTCAGGACAAGATTTAGACCAGGGGTACTCAATGAAGAGGGATGGATATTTAAAGGTTTCAAGTGGGGAGTGAAAAATCTTTTACTTTTTCTTGTTTTTTTATTTACAGAATTTGGAGCCCATCATGAATGTAAAAAAAAAAAAAAAAAAAAAACCTCCTCTAAAAATGATCCATGTAAATGTATATGTACTAATAAGGAGAAGAGTGGAGATTTTCAATAATATATACATGTTATTTGCAATGTGCCTTTTGAGTTGGACAATCTTAGAAAGGGGAAGGGATGATATTCTGACTTATGGTGCAAAGAGTGCATGATGCAAAAAAGGGTGCAGAACCATTGATCTAGAAGGTCATCTTGACTTTACAGCTGAAATTTATCTTCCCTGCTCAGTGATCAGACATTGTCATCTGGTCAGTTAATTCAAATCTCATGTTACTGAGTTAATGTTTCACTTGTGGGTTTATGTGCATTGATTGGGATGTTGAGATCACAGGAAGAAAAATCTATGATGAAGCTTGCATTTTCATCTGTTATTCACACACTTTGGTAGCATAATGGATAATGGTGCAGCGAGTCAAATTTAAAATCCTTACCAAGTGTGTTGCATTCACTTTCATACAAATATCCTAGGAAAAGTCTTGAATCCATCTCTTCTCTCTATGAAGTGAAGTCTCTCTACGAATTTCTTCCCGTGGCATGAATCTGCCTCTTTTCTCTTGGATTTCTCCCTGTGGCGAGAATCTGCCTCTTTTCTCTTGGAGTTCTCCCCGTGGCGTGAATCCGCCTCTTTTCTCCTGGAGTTCTTCCCATGGCATGAATCTGTCTTTTTATTAGTGAGCTGAGTTCAAATTTCCATCTCTTTAATTACATTCACTTATGCAATAATGCAATTAGGAAGTGCATGAATCCCACCTCTCCCCCCAGCAAAGATTGTCTAGCCTTGGGTGGCAGCCACGCGGAGAAGGACTACTTTGAATTCAAAACTGTGAAGAAGCCAATAGGAAACTACTTCACTATCTTTCCTAAGAAGTCACGGCAATTCACAAGATAATAAAGATATAGAATTTGTGGCGAGAATGCTTACAGTCTAAAGGGTCATTGAAGAAGAAGAAGAAAAAAAACAAAAAACAAAAATAACCCCAAAAAACTCATTATAACCTAATGCTGATGTGCATTGTCAAAGTGGTGATTATTTGAATTCCAAATCCATGCCTGACCCCACATTGGCTGTTGTTTTCTCCAGAAGCCTATGGGTAATTTTTTTTAATGTATCCATTTTGCTACCAAATGTGACACAAGGTTGAGGTTTAAAGTTGGTTTAACAGCAACACCAATGTTCAAATTACCAAAGCCCTCTCGGCACTTCCCCTTTCGAAGATGCCCAAGGCACTGGACAATGGAGGTGGGGCTTCTCGGGGCTTAGGCTTAACATTTTTTAAAACTTCCCCGAATAAGCATTGTACGAAATGATATAATCTGTTTTCCTTTTAAGCAAATAGAATAGTGTCAATAAAAACACTTCTCTTGGAAGTCTCATTCTTAGTTTTGTGATCCTTGTGTTCCTCAATACCTCCCCTCATCTTGTAATTTTTAACCCTGATATTTATGGCATCTATATGACAGCATTTATTTTCGTTTATTTGTATTCATTTTCAGCTTCAATTTTTTTTACTGCTTTGTTATTTGTTTTTGACTGTTATTATGTCATTGTTACCACCCACACTAGCCAACATATATAGTCGAGCCAAAATACAATACATGTTCAACATGAAACAGAGTGTTGCCTCTTGGCTGTGGGTATTGACTTCAATGTTCACTATATATATATATATATATAGTGGCTGTCAACTAGCAAAGTGAATATGACCATCACTGACATGTCCAGCCCTTCAGTTAACCCCCCACCCCACAACAGTGCATTCATCAGTTGTGTGAATGACAGTGGCTCATAAAGCTAGCCATTGATCTATATTTCTTGTAACATATGTGGCTTATTAAATCATCACCGGAGGGTGGAAGGAGACTTTGATCATCATCACTTCCAATATGCCTTTTCAGGCTCCAACCTGGACTTGGACACCATAGTGCAGGTCGGGCATTCAAAACATGCCATTACAAAATCATCATATACAATAGACTATTGGTGTGACTGAGCAGACCCGCCCTGGACAGACATATCTGATTGCATTGAGCACATGATATATATATATATATATATATATATATATATATATATATATTATTTAATTTAAAACAGACAACCTTAAGGGTCCATTGGTTGTAATTTATTTCCTCAGGTATGTGGGGTTTTTTTACCTGGTTCATCAGTGTGGTCTATTTAAATTGAATTAATAATTGCTCTGATTTGACATTGAGCTCTCTGGATTACATCCTCCTTGGGATTATCCATATGAATTACCAAACTTTTCATTACTTATATATATATATATATATATATATATGGTAAACTCTCCTGTCATATTCAATGTATGAGGGTCAAGCAGCTCAGTTCCTAGGAACTGACAACCAGACACCAGCACATATGATTTGATTATAATGGTGAAGGCTTTGCGCAGACCCAATCACACTTTTTGAAAGGGCCGAATAGAGACCTGGTGCACCGTGTGCCACAAGGTCCCCAAATGATCCTCCGCAGATATTCAATTCAGTCCTTCTCCTAGACCAGTTGCCATCCAAGGCTATAGAACCCAGTCTGTCCTGCTATTTACCCATAGCTGGGGGGAGAAGAAGAGGATTAATAGTTTTCCCAAAGGTATTAGCACATAAGTGAATGTAATGGATTTGACTAACCCGAACTTGGCTCTCTGATTCCTCAATCCGAGCAGCTATCCACTACTCCACCGTGCCTCCCTACACACACACACACACACACACACACACACAATAAATGTTTTTATATAGGTGAAGGAGATCTCAGGATTCTTTTCTAAAATCTTATTAAATTTCTAGCTAATGAAAAAAAAAAAGTAACTATCTGCAGCAAAAGTCAGTTTCTGTCGGCCAATCAGAAAGACTCAAACTCAAAAGATCTGGCAACAGGTTTCTGTTTATTTGCAGTTCGTTCTTGTTTTATTTTTTTTATTTTTACTGCAGCTGTTTTCTTAATTATGAAATTCTCAGCGGAAAATGTTATCGACCAAAGCTTGGCAGAAAATCACATCAAACAAAAGCAAATAACAATTCCAAGACACAATTCCCACCCACACTTTAAAAAACTCTGCACTTTTCTCTTGTTTATTGACCTCATGAAGGACAGACTTGTCAAAATCTAAAAAAATTACACATTTCACAATAATCTTTCCATGACTTTCTTTTTTTCAAATCATTCTACGAT